GGGATAATCCCAAGGCTTTTCGTGGAGGATCATTGGGGACGAATGGCCTTGGATGCTAAGCCGAGCCGAAGAGCGGCCAACAAGTTGAGTGACTGTGCTGAGTCCCTGAGAGATTTTAGCGTTGGCGGACGTTACTGATTCTTGTGGCAGATTCGGACGAGAGCGTGCTGAAGAGGTGCTTAAGAATTGACAGCTGAAGTGTCTCCAGGGGCCCATAGCCCTCTTCGACCACCAACAAATCTCTCCATTGCGGATTGGTCATTCACAGCTCTCGCGCAGCTAGTACACCCTGTTGTTCCACGTGTCCTTCAGTTTCACATCTTATGTGAGAACCAGCGAAGAAGTTCATTCTTTTAGTGACCTTGTATTCATTCTTGTGACCCAAAATCAGACCGTCCCACTTCTCCTGCTCATGCCAACCGATTTCGGGCTAGCGAACTATTGGTTTTTCTTATTCAAGTCATTGTTAAAGTTATATATGGAAACTTTTCTCTAGGAATCTTCCTGCGTGTTCTTTGATTCGAACTGACAGTACTAGTAATATTAATGCTCTGACGATCTCCCCCTTATGCTTGAATTGAACCGCGCGAACTCCAAGACTCCAATTCAAGCTAGCCAGTGCCACCCTTCAGTCTACCATACTCCATTTATTCAGGAGTGCCCAATTTTGTTGCCGATTTCCGGAATTTTGGATTCTGCTTCCTGTTATTTAATTAGCTGATTAGGCAACGTTCGTGGTTTAAACCACATGCGATCAGGCGCATGTACGAGTTGTAAGTCTGTCCTCCTTTGCCACTTAGCCATGCCTCGGCACCTTCAAACTTTGTGAGTGGACGATTAAGCTTGCATGCGTTCTGATTTGCTTTGCTCCGCCCACTGATTGCTTTATCGCCTTATCGCCTGCTTGCCGCCGACTCGCCTTTCGTCAGTTCTCCTGATCGATACGTATTCTCGTCTTTCTAACCTGATCGGCTGAACTCTGAACTCTACCTCAAGTATGTTGTCGACTGAGGAATGTAGTAATGTTGCTGCTAGTGTCCTCAATAAACATGGGTCGAACCTTAGAGTAGGAGCATAAAGCAAAAAGCATTCAGCGTTGACCAATCCCTTTTTGGGTACGCTTTGCATACTTCTATTCGGATTCATAGCGGCACTTTGAGTGCGATTTGACCCATGCAATGATTTAAGGGGTCTTGTCGATGCCGCTATATTTATCCTGCCAGAAAAGACTGGAACCAATTAATCGACCTCGAACAGGTGGAAGCAGGGTCAACCGTCCGTTCGCACTATTCGAACAACGGGGTCGCATTTGTGATTTCGGACAGGGGGTCGCATTTTGGAATTCCTAATTCTTCACTACTTCTCACAGATTCTTGTGAGAAGCTAATACAATTTCAGTATTATCCTGCCCTATAGAAAGAGCCATAAGTCTATGTGGAAAGAGCCATAAGCCGATGGCGAAGGTGGTGGTCGGAGAAGGGGAAAGGGGATCGTAATGGGACGCCTTCTCCAGACTGGATGGCTGGTGGTGAGGCATGGCACTGAGACCTCTCTAAAAGGGAGTCGCAATTTTTTTTTTGAAAAAGTGCGAACGTGACAGTTGACCCAGGGTGGAAGCGAGGTTGACCCGAAGCGTCGCACGATCCAGGATTTCATCCCCGGACTCGCATGCGTGGCCAAGCAGCGCTACTTGTACTATACTACTTCCTGCTACTCTGAGACTCTCCAATGATCAGATAAAGGTCAAACAAAGTACGATACGATTGAGTTACAATGTTACAATGTCGCGATCAATTCATGAACAGCGAGCTCTCTTTGACGCACCATTCCGCCTAAAGTACTGGCAATCATGAAACAGCCGCTCACACCCGAGCGTTTTTTGTGTACATAGCCTATCCAACTGGACGTGGTCACATGACCACCTCATGAAAACTTCTTTTTCACGATTTCGAAAACGTTCGCAATGTTGTATCGAGTGCATGTGGGCTCGACTGCGCGACCAAAAAATTTCGCCCTGTGCGTTGACCGAAACGCGTGCACGAGGGGCCTGTGCAGCGGTACCCTTCCGAGGATGGGCCCCAGAACTCCGCAGCTTTTTTCCTGGTGATGATGCATCATCATGGTCAAGAATAGGGGGGGGGGGGGGGGGGGGGGGGGGGGTGGGGGGGGGGGGGGGTTTCTGTCGGGAAGTGCAAGGTTCTCGGGATTCATCCCGGCCAGGTAAGGCTGTACCTCCCCTGGAGCTCGTCGGGCCATAACAGTCAGCAAGCATCTGGCGCTTATTATGGAGTGGTGACTGGAACGAGTGAATGGCGTACGTGGTTCTGGAGCCAAGAGCCTCCTTCTAAAATTCCTGCAGTGGTGCTAGAACGAAGCCCTGTGCAAGAACCGCAAAAGAGATCTGGATGGATGGTTACCTACCACGAAAATGGGTAGACCGTTCCACAGGGTGAATAATCAAATACACATGTGGGAGGGAAATCCTGGGATTTGGAGGCCTGGCATAGCAAGCTTCCGAGACGCTACTTTTATTTTACAGATAGCTAGTTTTAACAGATAGCGCTATTTCACATTGAGTTCAGGCCGCACAATGCGTGCTGTTGCTCGAATCTAGGGGCCATATGCAATCCCTTCCTCAGTGTGGCGGGCCTCTTACCGCTGATTCAGCCCTCAGTTGGGGGAGATACGGTTGCGTCAGGTGACCATACCTATGTATTTCAATCTTCAAAGGGTTAAGGGTAAGTTAACCCTTTAGAGCGCCTTAACTGGGGAGGGTAGCCCAAATATCGAACTTTAATGGGGGGTATCAGGAGGATTGGCTACGCCCTTGGAGGAGCACCCAAAAAACCTCGACCATGTCACGTGGCGTCCAATACTGGAAAAGGTGTTGCATTTGAAGTGACATTACTGGTTCGCCAATATTGTTTCATAGGCAAACACTGCGGAGGGCAGCAGCACTCTAGTCACGCATCGCTTATTCTCGGCTTCTTGAAAGGCGGAGAGCAGCCGCGGCTAATATGACGTTCGTCATCGTTGTCATTCCTTGTCTATTCCTCACCCCTCTGCCATTTTGAAGGAAGCCGTCTAGCCTGATTGAGGTCCATAGGGCCAAAGCGTGTCGCCGCTGCGATATGTAAATTGTGTTATTGAATGGTGTTTGTTGGGAGATGCGCGTACTTCGTATTGCGCTGTATTCACGTCATCGAAGATGCGAAAACTATTGAGGCCAGAATTCTGCTGTGACCTGGAGTTGTCCAACCCCGTAAGCTTGCAAAGGAGCTGGAAAATTCAAGTACTATTTTTTTTAGTGCAAAGGAGACCAAACAAACCAACTTTTGTCCTTAATAGTAGCATCAAGTTAGGAGATCGAGCATGCCAGCGGGTTGATCTGTTGATTTCAGTAACACTCTCGAAAAAGCCTCATTAGGCTAATGTTGGACGGTGTTGAGTCAATATTCAGAACTATAGGTAGCTGAGTAGGAATTCT